CATGAAGAACAAGCCAAACTTCGTGAAATTCGGATGAGATTTGGCCGAGTTATGAGGGTGGTAATTTTTGACCCATGTCTATATACGAATCTTGGGGTAAGATTTGGACATGAATTTCGACAAAAAACTCGGTGTTCAGATTTGAATGCCAGATTAATCTAGAGGGAAAACCATGAAGAAAAAGCCAAACTTCGTGGAAATCGGATGAAATTTGACCGAGTTATGGGGGTGGTAATTTTTGACCCATGTCTATATACGAATCTTGGGGTAAGATTTGGACATGAATTTCGACTAAAAAATCGGTGTTCAGATTTGAATGCCAGATTAATCTAGAGGGAAAACCATGAAGAAAAAGCCAAACTTCGTGAAAATCGGATGAGATTTGACCGAGTTTTGGGGGTGGTAATTTTTGACCCATGTCTATATACGAATCTTGGGATACGATTTGGACATGAATTTCGACTAAAAAATCGGTGTTCAGATTTGAATGCCAGATTAATCTAGAGGGAAAACCATGAAGAAAAAGCCAAACTTCGTGAAAATCGGATGAGATTTGGCCGAGTTATGGGGGTGGTAATTTTTGACCCATGTCTATATACGAATCTTGGGGTAAGATTTGGACATGAATTTCGACAAAAAACTCGGTGTTCAGATTTGAATGCCAGATTAATCTAGAGGGAAAACCATGAAGAAAAAGCCAAACTTCGTGAAAATCGGATGAGATTTGGCCGAGTTATGGGATAGGTAATTTTTGACCCATGTCTATATACGAATCTTGGGGTAAGATTTGGACATGAATTTCGACTAAAAAATCGGTGTTCAGATTTGAATGCCAGATTAATCTAGAGGGAAAACCATGAAGAAAAAGCCAAACTTCGTGAAAATCAGATGAGATTTGACCGAGTTATGGGGGTGGTAATTTTTGACCCATGTCTATATATGAATTTGGGGTAAGATTTGGACATGAATTTCGACTAAAAAATCGGTGTTCAGATTTGAATGCCAGAATAATCTAGAGGGAAAACCATGAAGAAAAAGCCGAACTTCGTGGAAATCGGATGAAATTTGACCGAGTTATGGGGGTGGTAATTTTTGACCCATGTCTATATACGAATCTTGGGGTAAGATTTGGACATGAATTTCGACTAAAAAATCGGTGTTCAGATTTGAATGCCAGATTAATCTAGAGGGAAAACCATGAAGAAAAAGCCAAACTTCGTGGAAATCGGATGAAATTTGGCCGAGTTATGAGGGTGGTAATTTTTGACCCATGTCTATATACGAATCTTGGGGTAAGATTTGGACATGAATTTCGACTAAAAAATCGGTGTTCAGATTTGAATGCCAGATTAATCTAGAGGGAAAACCATGAAGAAAAAGCCAAACTTCGTGGAAATCGGATGAAATTTGACCGAGTTATGGGGGTGGTAATTTTTGACCCATGTCTATATACGAATCTTGGGGTAAGATTTGGACATGAATTTCGACTAAAAAATCGGTGTTCAGATTTGAATGCCAGATTAATCTAGAGGGAAAACCATGAAGAAAAAGCCAAACTTCGTGGAAATCGGATGAAATTTGGCCGAGTTATGAGGGTGGTAATTTTTGACCCATGTCTATATACGAATCTTGGGGTAAGATTTGGACATGAATTTCGACTAAAAAATCGGTGTTCAGATTTGAATGCCAGATTAATCTAGAGGGAAAACCATGAAGAAAAAGCCAAACTTCGTGAAAATCAGATGAGATTTGACCGAGTTATGGGGGTGGTAATTTTTGACCCATGTCTATATATGAATTTGGGGTAAGATTTGGACATGAATTTCGACTAAAAAATCGGTGTTCAGATTTGAATGCCAGATTAATCTAGAGGGAAAACCATGAAGAAAAAGCCGAACTTCGTGGAAATCGGATGAAATTTGACCGAGTTATGGGGGTGGTAATTTTTGACCCATGTCTATATACGAATCTTGGGATACGATTTGGACATGAATTTCGACTAAAAAATCGGTGTTCAGATTTGAATGCCAGATTAATCTAGAGGGAAAACCATGAAGAAAAAGCCAAACTTCGTGAAAATCGGATGAGATTTGGCCGAGTTATGGGGGTGGTAATTTTTGACCCATGTCTATATACGAATCTTGGGGTAAGATTTGGACATGAATTTCGACTAAAAAATCGGTGTTCAGATTTGAATGCCAGATTAATCTAGAGGGAAAACCATGAAGAAAAAGCCAAACTTCGTGGAAATCGGATGAAATTTGACCGAGTTATGGGGGTGGTAATTTTTGACCCATGTCTATATACGAATCTTGGGGTAAGATTTGGACATGAATTTCGACTAAAAAATCGGTGTTCAGATTTGAATGCCAGATTAATCTAGAGGGAAAACCATGAAGAAAAAGCCAAACTTCGTGGAAATCGGATGAAATTTGACCGAGTTATGGGGGTGGTAATTTTTGACCCATGTCTATATACGAATCTTGGGGTAAGAGTTGGACATGAATTTCGACTAAAAAATCGGTGTTCAGATTTGAATGCCAGATTAATCTAGAGGGAAAGCCATGAAGAACAAGCCAAGCTTCGTGAAAATCGGATGAGATTTGGCCGAGTTATGAGGGTGGTAATTTTTGACCCATGTCTATATACGAATCTTGGGGTAAGATTTGGACATGAATTTCGACTAAAAAATCGGTGTTCAGATTTGAATGCCAGATTAATCTAGAGGGAAAACCATGAAGAAAAAGCCAAACTTCGTGAAAATCGGATGAGATTTGGCCGAGTTATGGGGGTGGTAATTTTTGACCCATGTCTATATACGAATCTTGGGGTAAGATTTGGACATGAATTTCGACTAAAAAATCGGTGTTCAGATTTGAATGCCAGATTAATCTAGAGGGAAAACCATGAAGAAAAAGCCAAACTTCGTGAAAATCAGATGAGATTTGACCGAGTTATGGGGGTGGTAATTTTTGACCCATGTCTATATACGAATTTGGGGTAAGATTTGGACATGAATTTCGACTAAAAAATCGGTGTTCAGATGTGAATGCCAGATTAATCTAGAGGGAAAACCATGAAGAAAAAGCCAAACTCCGTGGAAATCGGATGAAATTTGACCGAGTTATGGGGGTGGTAATTTTTGACCCATGTCTATATACGAATCTTGGGGTAAGATTTGGACATGAATTTCGACTAAAAATCGGTGTTCAGATTTGAATGCCAGATTAATCTAGAGGGAAAACCATGAAGAACAAGCCAAACTTCGTGAAAATCGGATGAGATTTGACCGAGTTATGAAGGTGGTAATTTTTGACCCATGTCTATATACGAATCTTGGACATGAATTTCGACTAAAAAATCGGTGTCCAGAGTTGAATGTCAGATTAATCTAGAGGGAAAACAATGAAGAAAAAGCCAAACTTCGTGAAAATCGGATGAGATTTGACCGAGTTATGGGGGTGGTAATTTTTGACCCATGTCTATATACGAATCTTGGGGTAAGATTTGGACATGAATTTCGACTAAAAAATCGGTGTTCAGATTTGAATGCCAGATTAATCTAGAGGGAAAACCATGAAGAAAAAGCCAAACTTCGTGGAAATCGGATGAAATTTGGCCGAGTTATGAGGGTGGTAATTTTTGACCCATGTCTATATACGAATCTTGGGGTAAGATTTGGACATGAATTTCGACAAAAAAATCGGTGTCCAGAGTTGAATGCCAGATTAATCTAGAGGGAAAACAATGAAGAAAAAGCCAAACTTCGTGAAAATCGGATGAGATTTGACCGAGTTATGGGGGTGGTAATTTTTGACCCATGTCTATATACGAATCTTGGGGTAAGATTTGGACATGAATTTCGACTAAAAAATCGGTGTTCAGATGTGAATGCCAGATTAATCTAGAGGGAAAACCATGAAGAAAAAGCCAAACTTCGTGGAAATCGGATGAAATTTGACCGAGTTATGGGGGTGGTAATTTTTGACCCATGTCTATATACGAATCTTGGGGTAAGATTTGGACATGAATTTCGACTAAAAAATCGGTGTTCAGATTTGAATGCCAGATTAATCTAGAGGGAAAACCATGAAGAACAAGCCAAACTTCGTGAAAATCGGATGAGATTTGACCGAGTTATGAAGGTGGTAATTTTTGACCCATGTCTATATACGAATCTTGGGGTAAGATTTGCACATGAATTTCGACTAAAAATCGATGTTCATATTTCGTCACATTTTAAAATAACAATATAATCTTTATACTTTTCCAAAATACAGGGGTTGTAAGTAAAATGTTCTTAGGGAAATGTTCGCCAAAGAAACTTGTCCGCGAGCAGAGCGTTAACTGTACTTACAATTTTACGCATTAAGCATACGCCGCGTTTGACCGCGCAAGTTTTTCTGGGAAAACGCTTGTGTTGTGTTCTCAGCTAAAAGCTTCTCGAAGACACCAAATATAAAAATACTGGTTCTTAACAAATTCCCATTATTTTGCGCAGCACAATGAACTCATAGCACAAGCTTTAAGTTGACTTGCTGTTGTTCTTGTTGTTGTTTGTTATTAATGCTAAGCGCCGCAATGCTTTGCAATTAATCGTCAAAGCATTACGTCACGCAGAATTTGTAGGGTACGGGGTGAGTGTGTGGCGGCGGGTGGCGGGCGGCGACTGTGAGACGGGCTCGCGCAGACACTAAATCAAATCAAACCAAACCGGTTTGAACAAACAATAAAAAAAACATACACATACATGCGCACAAATACACTTGTGCGCACACGTTAACTGGAGCTGATCACACACACACACACGCACACTCATACTCACATTGCACCCTATAAAAAGACTTGCAAGTGAGTGTGTGTGTGTGTGTGAGTGAGTGTGGAATCACCAAGGGAATCTGTATAATCAGCTGTTTGAGCGCGAGGCAGTTCGAGTTACTAAATGCTGACAAACTCAGAATTGTTGTTTAGAGCATTTCATTGAGCCAATTCGGATTCAGTTCTTTATGAACACGCCAAGCATTCTACCATAGAACTGCCATAGGAGATCTTGAGAAAATATTGTTCAAGGAAACCCAAAACAAACATAAATTCGTGAGTGCTTAAAACACTGCGCATTTTACATAAACAATTGAAAATGGTTTTGTAATTTGTGCATAAATATAGGTTTTTTGAAAATTGCCCAATAGATCAATTACGATACGGATTCGAAGAGAAGACTAGTTGTCTTGTCCTGGACACAAGGACATAGTAGCTGCTGCTAATTAAGAAGAACAGATTAAAAAGGTGCGTCATTTGGAATTTCAAAATCAAGTTAATAATAGTATGCATATGTATATTATATATATGGTATACATACATATATGTATATGTATGAAAAGAAAATAGTTGTAATTCAAATTAAACCAAATCCGGATCTCAAATCTCCAAAGCTAAGCCAATGTTGATAAGTAACAATAATAATAGTAATATAATAATAATAATATAATATAATAACAATAATAATAATATAAATAATCGTCATTATAATCATAATAATAATGATGATGATTTGAACGAAAGTCTTAATAAGATGAATATTAAAAAATAATGGGAAATTATTATATTACTTTATTATTGTTAATAAAATTATGGCCTATTATTAATATTACTAGTATAAATATTTTTATTATTTTAACTTTCGCTAAAAAAAAGCGATTGAAATTTTTTTTTGCTATTTCTTATAAAAGATCGGATTTATAAATTATTTTCGAATTTTCTCAATGAACTTAATTCGATTTTTATTAGTAAAAAAAACTCCAAATAAGATATATGGTATTTTCGATTTCTATTAGTAAAAGCACAATTGAAAAATCTTTGAAAACAAATCATAGTTAAAGCTTAAGTTTATGTTAAATAAGGTAATTAATAGATTTACCAATTTCTTTTTTGTTTCTCAATTTCGACTCGTTATTATAATAATAAAGTCTGTTATGACAACAGCTCGAACTGAAAGATCAAAAGTTGATCAAGAGACAATGAAAAGAGTAAAACTTTTGAATGGTAAACAAATTCTTAGCTCGTTAATTGTATGTACTTTTTTGATAATTAGTAATTTAGCTGAAAATAACACACCTGAGGCTTGCTTCCACTTTGAGTTACAAGTTGAGAACCGCTTAAAACCAGCTCAAGCTGCCGTTTGTCGAATTTTGTTATTTGCAGAATTCTAGTCAGATATATGACACACACACATGTATCTACCTATATGCAGGTGTATATGTGTGTGTGAGAGCTGAAAATCAAAAACAAAATATAAAACCCGCTTGATAAGCTGCCCGGTTTTACTCGTTGTATAAGTCCCAGATACTCTGTAAGTCCCCGATACTTGGCTGTCTGGCCTCCATCTTCGGCTGGATGAAACCAAAGTGGTTGAGTTTTGGTAGCCGTATACCAGTTTTAACTAAACAGCCACTGATAAGATTATTATTTAGTTGTGCGTTCTCCGTATCACCGGAACCTAAATCGTTTAAAACACACGGACAACAATCGAGCCAGACGACAATCTGAACAACAATAATAACAGCTAGAGATACAGTCAATAACATCATAATAAATAGTTCTTTTCCTAAGTTTCTTGAAAAGCAAGTCATGATTTTATCTTCATGATAGCAAAGTTGTAACTCCCTTGTAGCAATATATATCTAGCTATACTTGGTTTATTGTCATGCCAAAAGTGGATATCATATGATATAGAAGTCCGATGTTGTCTGATTCTTAGATTTATGATATAGTGATCGGATCAGTTCAACTGCAACATATGTAATTGCTGTAAAGTACAGTTGTTTCAAAACTGTGCGACTACTCCGACTAGAAAGAGACAGAGAGACAAACGGACACCGACCAGACTGTTCATGCTGATCTTGAATATGTATATATATGTACATATATGTATATATATTACAGACTTGCAGCTGATTTCCCAAAAGCATTACACATTTCCATACACCAAAACGAACTAGTTTCAGACTAGTTGCACGTGTCAGAAGAACTTTACCGTATATGGCTAACCATATTATCTTAGCTTTAATTGTGACGTCACAGCTGCTCATTTACCGGTTGAAAGCGGCTCTCAGTTCGAAAAAGAGCTTGGATTTTCGGTAAGAGCTAAATTCAAGCGTGCATCGAAATGAACGCGTTATCAATGCGCTTGCATCGGGCAACCCCTCCTGCCCCCCTTGCCTCTGGCCGAGGCGACCCCGCAGCAGCGATCAAGTGTCGGAAGTTTTTCCATAGCTTCTTTCGAAAAGCTGCCCTGCAGCTCGCCCCTCAGCCCACTGCTGATGCTGTTGTTGTTGGCGACCACTCAATGTCGCTCTCTTACGCACGCTCTCTCGCATACACACACACACACACACACACACGCGCGCGCTTTAATTTCAGCTGTCTTCTCTCTCTCTATCTCTCTTTGATGCTGCTGCGTATACGTTCGCGTTTTCCAAATCAAATTGTTTTGAAAAACTCAACGCAAGTTTTCAGATTCATCTCGACGTTGCGCGTGTCAAGTTGTGTGTCTCGGCTTTGTCTTAAGATCGGTTCTCAATAATATTCCAAGCATTTTGTGAGTCTACAGTTTGTGCTACTATATAACAGCTTTTATAAGTATTTTATATCAGGATTTAAGAAAGAAAAGTTTGAAAACAGAAAAATATAATTCAAGTTGTGCAAAAAACAGAGATATATTTGGAAGTAAACACATGTAAAAACTTATTATTATTCAAAATTACATTTGTTACACGGAAACTTATCATATTTATTAACATAATCGATTGATCGTGCAAGGCATACAAGAAATTTTCAAATAAAAATCGTATTCAAAAAGTGCAAAATACAGATAAAAGATTATTATTATAAAAAGTTGAAAGCCTATAAAACTTAATCTAACTCAAATACTACCAAGGCTTCTGAGAATACTTAAAAAAATATCTGAAAAATTCTTTTAAACTTATCTTTAAGGTGCTCTTAAGTAAACAAAGCCATACTAATTTAAATGCAAAATTATTTGTGCCAATAAACTTTTAGACGCTGAACTAAAAACCAGATAGCAAATACTACTAGTAAATATATGCATATTAAATTATACGTTTCACTCATTAAAAGTGGCTTAGAGGGTATGATAACGCTGTGCGATTGTATGTGAAAGGCAGTAAAATCTATTTTGAGACGGACACAAAGATAAAATTAACAGTTTTATGTAAAAGTTAACAGTCTTATGTACATGTTACGTTTAATTAACAGTTTTATGTAAGTGTTAAGTTTAATAATTAAACATGTAATATATAACATATAATAGTATTAATATTATCTTAAATAATAATTATATTTAGCGTTAAGCTTTTGATTCTTTAAATATTTATAAGATTTTATTCATGGTAGAGCTCTCCCTGTATTTGCTGAACTTAAGTGAAGGGTATCTTCTAGTCGATCATATTCGTTGAAGGCACTCTTACTAATTTTGTCACCTGCTCTGCCCGTTTGTTTTTGTGCCTTTTCGTTTTACATTAGGTAATCAAACCATAAACTAACTGACTTAACTGAGTCAAGATCAAACCACAGGCGTCAGCTTTAACGTATTCCCGTGTGGATCAGAAAAGAACCCGCCGGACTTCACCCACATACATAAAATGTCACAGACGCTCGCCTACATCACGTTAATCGCTTTTATTGCGCATCTCTTATCAGGTAACGGTATATACGGTTATAATATATAATGTACAAAACATATGCCAGTAGACATTACCCGAGAATTTTCGATTCCCCTTTTTCTTAACCCAATTTCCGCCTGCTTAAATGTTACTCGTATTCAAGCGATATTATCACCTAAATAGAGAAGTTTTCCGGAAAGTCTACAATTTTATTAATACTATGTAAGTTGGCCAGCCTAGGGATAAGATTTTCTGAGATTGGTATAATATAAGTTCGTTAAAGATTTAAAAAATTAGTTTAAAGTCGTTTGAAGGAAATTTCCCATTTCCACCCAAGCAGGTGGATCTCCCGAAATCAGTGAAAAAAGTCATTAATGTATTTTGCCAAAGAATTCGCACAAAAAAACGCGTTTCAAGCTGATTGGATAACAGATAAATTTCATGCAATCATTTTCCACCAATTTTCCACTCTTGCTAGTGGAATTCTTGCTCTTACTCAATTTGTAATGTATATAGCTATAGAAGTGTGTCATTTTGGGCGGCGGACTCTTTAATTAATTAATCAAATTGAAAAGCACAGAATCAGCCAATTGATTTATCAAAACACGACATCTGTCCGCATCTTGTTTTCGGCTGGGCAATGGAATTTATTTGGACGCGCCGATGTGGAACCTAATGTTAATGGCAACACCCTCGACCAGAGGGGAAGTAGTCGAGAGTACAAAGCAATTGATTTTGGGCTTTGCACTTTAATTAAATAACGCTTCCAAAACGAATGCCAAATGTAAATTGATATCAATTGAATTTTCTGTTTGGGCTTTTAACACCGTGCCTAATGCGACACGATTGATGGGTAAATAGGCGGAAAGGCAGGTGTTATCGGTAAATTATTATGCTGATGAGTTTCACCGAGCGACTGATATGAATGCAGCTAACCGACGGCAAGATACCCTGTAAGCAGCTACAGCATGGGCAACTGAGACTTTGACTGTAAGTTTTAGACAATCTGACTGACAGACAGATTGATTGTCTGATTGGGGCTTAAAGCATAGCTCAAAAAGGGGCAACTGCATTTTGCACATTTTGGAAAATTTTCTTGTTTTTAAAAAATTTTCTGAGTACAAGTAAACTTTACCCGAAATTGAAAAATCTTTCGTTTTATGGCTGTGTTGTAAAATGCAGGATATTTTTTGAGCGCAGGTATACACATGATTTGGGAAATTTCCACAAGCTGTAGTGGAAAATTGGTGGAAAATGTATGTACGCAACACATTCGCCTTGATGTTAATTTTTAGAAATCCTATTTAGAATTTATTGACTGGTTAAACACTAGTCCACCCGTCTGGGTTCTCAAGAAATTTGGACTAAATTTCCAACAAGCTGTTGTAAAACGTGTGAGCGCGAGGTAAGGCGGAAGATAGGTGGAATTGCCAATATACCTGCTTGCAACATCGTATTCAGAGCTGGGTAGAGACCTAATGAGACTCAATTGAAGTCACTTTCTGCATTCTTTGCACAAGCTGAGAACCACTTAAAGTTAACTTCCCCCCACGCGACATTTCAGGGCAGTAAAAGATGTTAAATTATTGAAGCTCTGCAGTGATAATCAGATGCGCAAATACACAACTGGTTTCTGTATATATATATATATATATGTGTGTATATACGACAACCCTAGGCATTCATAGGGTTGAGTTACGCGCTTCATTAGCATACAATTGTCAAGTGTTGGCTGGCGAACACAGTGCTACAAGTTCAAGTTTAGGCTGACCGCAAACCGCGGCGCATGTAAAATGCAAATGTCCGATTTGATATCTTGAATCTCATATTTCAAATACTACAATATTCTTATGGCAACTTGTTTTTATTGGCGTTGCGCTTGGATTAATTGCAAATGGCAAGAAAATAGGGGAAAAAAACAACTTGACGGGGCCTGTGAATAGGCCAAAAGTCAGCAAACTAAGAAGCAACAAAAAATCGCGCATACGCCCAGTTAAACGTCGGACAATCAAGTCTCTTCAGCTAACCTGACATTCGGGTGCATATAAATGGAGCTTGAAAAGGTATAAAATGGTTAAAGCTCATGAGTGCAAACGTTTTTGTTTGAGTTCTAAAATCATAGATCAGAATCAGAAACTAATATTAATATATATTTTTAATACTGGATATGGCGATCTTTCCATATTACAAATATTTGAAGGCGTCTTGGATAGAAAATCCCGGACCTCGAGCCAAACAAATAATACATTTCTAATTTATAAATGTATTAAATTTAAATTTAATGCCAAAAGAAAATTAATTGAAAGAGTTGTTCCTTTTTCGAAAGGGTATCCAAAGGTTGGAAACTATGCTCAAGTGCTTGTTCTTTAAGTTTTTGTGCTGTTTTGCGTGTCAGAACAGAACCTGGTAACAGAATTGGAGCCCGAACAAGAAGTGCTCGCAGTTGACATGCAATTATTTAGCCAACTGCCGAGTCTCAGTCAGTTAGTCAGACAGGTAGCTCAGCTACCTGGCGGGGGCTAATAAAATAATTTGCTGTCAAAATGTCTGGCTATGTGAAAAGGTTGGTGCATTCGGAATGCCATGCGAAAAGGTCTACTATATGTGCGCCTTGAAATGCCGATGACAAATTGCTTTTCTATTCTAAGCAAGGCTGCAAACCGATAATGAAATGAGCCCCGTGCCAAATCGGAGCTACAGGCCCAACCGCACAGCTATTGTCTTGTATCAACGGTTTGGCTGAACATAAAATACTTTGAGATGCATTTACAAGCCACAAATAACTTGTGACTAAAAATACTAGCATTACCCGGCTTTGACCGGGCAGTCAGTCTGTCTTATCAAAATAGATCTAGCCATGGTCGACCTGTCTTACCTGTCTCTCGTCGATCTCTGCACTTGCAGAAGCTAGATAATTTATGCCTGCTTTTTTAACAACAACAAAAAAAATTGAATAAACCACTTATTGGAGATATAGCCTTGTGTTTTTGCAATTTAGACTCGCTCGGGGTATCTCTCAGCCAGGAACTCCCGACTAGAGTAGAATGCTTGAAGATTGATTCGAATACTTCCAATTCTCATACCCATTCCTATTCCTTGTGCATATCCATATGCATATATATAAGGAAGGCAGTTCGACAGCGTATCTCGCTCGGACAGCGTATCTCCCAGTCAGGCACACCCGACTAGATTAGAGTACTCTTACTTGATTATCTCTCTCTCTCTCTCTCTCTCTCTCTCTAAATATATATATATAAATAAGGCAGTTGGAATGATTTTAAGTGCAGTCCGAGCTCAGGGTATCTCTCAGTCAGACGATTCCCACTAGAATAAACTATTGCTGAATTCGAGTATTAAGGCATTCCCTTTCTCATTTATATATGCAGTCTCGGGCTTGCGCTGTCATCAGTGCAATTCGCACGACAACGAGGATTGCGCCAGTTTGGTGGTGAACACGCCGCGTGCCCAGCGGGATGAGCAATATTTGCTCGATTGTGAACCCAAGGGGGTGGACCAGGCGTTCTGCCGGAAGACGGTCATCAAACTGGAGGTGAACGATGAGCATCGCATTGAGCGCAGCTGCGGCTGGATACAGGAGAAGGCGCATAATACCTGCTTTACGGCGGACAACGAGGGCTACAAGCAAATCGTTTGCACCTGCAGCGAGGAGGGCTGCAACGGCGCCCGTGCATTAGCCGGCCCTGGTTCAGTCCTGGTACTGGCTCTCAGCCTGCTCGCTGCCCTGGGCTGCGTCCTGCGACGCTGATGATGAACTGCAACCATCCAGCGCAAGGATTTGAGTTCCAATCTAATCAAATATCTTGCACTATCTATAAGTCTTATGTTAATATCTTTTCGCGCAGCTGTTTCGCAGAATTAAAATATGTTATTTGTATTTGTAATTTGTATTTCATAATTATGCAAAAACTAAGATACGACTAATTTACTTATTTTTCTTGACCCTTTCTTATTTGTTGCCCAGAAAATAGTTAGATCTAAGGCCAAACTTTAGGAGTCTGCTTCGAACTGCCTTTGAATCCGGAAGTCAATAATTTTTATAGATTTTTAGAGGGTATTATAATTTGTATATCCTGAACCCATTAATGGGTATAAGGGTATATTGTATTTGTGCAAAATCCAAATGTATGTAACAGGCAGAAGGAATCATCTCTGACCTCATAAAGTATATATATTCTTGATCAGCATCAATAGCGGAGTCCGTCTGTCTGTCCATCCGTCCGTCCGTCCGTATGTATGAACTCAAGGAGCTCAGAACCTATAAGAGCTAGAGACTTGAAATTTTAGATGTAGGTGCTCCTAGTGCATGCGCAGGTCGAGTTTGTTTCCGATAATCGATAACTTACTCCGTTTCCAAGCAATCGATAAAAATCGATATCGATATCCTGTTTTTTGGGCAATTTTGGTAAATAATAAGAGCTAGAGTCACCAAACTTGACATACAGCTTCTAAAATAGAATATATATATATGCATTTGATGTTGGAATAAGAGGGTTCAGGGTATCCTCTAGTCGGGAGCTCCCGACTAGAACCTCTCTCAATATATCTTGAAGGAACTGGGCATTTGTTGGCTTGAGAAAGCTCTCTGCATATGTGCAAAATGTATATCAAGCTGGTAATATAGCACTTGAAATCTTTAAGGATTTAATATGGTATATATATTTATTATAAAACCTAATTACAACTCAACCAAAGGTTGATTGAAATCTCTTTGGCTTCAAGCAAAGGAATTGAGTGTACTTTAAAATAGCCTAAAATCGATAGTTTGCTTTATGTTGGGGCTTAAGCTTTCCTTAAGGAATCCAGCTGATGCCAAAATGTCTGCACAATTGTTTTGTGGCTTGGTCGACAACAAAGTTATGCCCCAAACTAATAGCATAACGTTTTTTCTTTTTTTTTTTTATCTTTTTCCTTACGTTTTATTGTGGAGCCAGGGGCACAAGAAATTGTTGTTTTTGTATCAGGCAGGGCAAGGACGAGATGCTGACCCATTGCCATTAGGCCAAAGGCACACAAATTCTTGTTTCTCCACGCACTTGACGGGCTTTAACATCTCGTTACATTTGCTGCCGTTTGTTAGTCTTTCATTTTTATTGCCAACTACACAGATACACAGTTAGATACAGTGGAAGCTCGTTGAGCGGACAGCCTCATTGGCCGGACAACTTATGTAAATACCTAGTATTGTAGAGTTAATTATTTGTTCAAGATATTTCTGCCAAACTTAACAACCATAAGCTTCCCTATGTTTCGAACATATCTGCAGAGGAACTCATTGTAGAACTTATTTGGTGGGAATATGGGTGGATTTCAAAGAATGTAGCTCGGTTTTAATGCATTTACAAATTACAATCTTTTTATAATTGTCTTACAAATTATGTTTCCATGAATTTCACTAAGTTCATGCGTGGAATATGGGCGGATTTCAATGATGGGTGGATTGCAAAAAATCGCTAAATCGTTTTTAATGAATTCACAAACAATTTATTATTGTTCTACAAATGATGCTTCGACTTAGGCGAGGTTTCACTGTACATACAATATTCTGAAGCGACCTACATGCGTTACATATCACAGAGTTGCTTTTGTCGCCAGTCCAACTAGCTATTCCCAGAGTCTTTTGTCCTGTCTGTGACTGTGAATGTGACTGAGAATATGATTGTGGATGTTAATGTGGCTGTGTTTGTGGCTGTGGATGTGGCTGCGTGTGCGTTTGTTGCCGCCAGCTTGTCGCCCTCATCCGGCTAGAGCATCCGCAGCATTCGCTTGTGTGCCGCCCACACTTCCACCTACCCCTGCATGAATAGATACACGCCCACAAATAGATTTGCCCAGCCAGTGGGTCTTTATTTTATTTTCGTGGACTCTTTGGCGCCAACATGAAGAAAAATTGATTTTCAATTCTATGTGAGACATCGCCCCATGTTGTTGGCGTTTTATTGCATGTGGTTGATTTCTTGGATATTCTTGGTAATTGGGCGTTACTTTCGGAAATTTGGAAGGACATTGAACCCATTGAAAACGGAAAATGAATCGACAGACAGACGGACGTGACTAAATACACTCGTTGCCCCACCATGGGTGTCTCCACCTGCAATGCATTTGTCGCCAAAAGTGAGCAATATATATTAAAATGATTCCTTAGGAACGTACCTTGGCGCACTGAAACATCTGAGTTCCGAGATCCAATTGGTGTTTTTTTCCATTATGTTTTAGCTGTAAGTAGGTGAGGGATCATGGGGAGATCCACAGTCTGCATACTCCCTGACAAATCAAGGTACCGAACTGTCATTCCGACTATATAGACTTGCATTGCCCACCAATTTAAGCTACAATTTTAATGCAGCTGTCATTTTGATAAACACGAATATATAAAGCTAGCGCAAATTCCAAAATTTTCTGTATACGTCTACACACACCCATTCATGCGCGTCTTCTTTGAATTCTGTCGCAGTTGCAATTGCGACTGTATTGTTTTCTGTGTTGCGAGTAGTGCGGTTAGTTGCGAGCTCGAACCCTTTAAAGCAAACTTTTATTTCTTTTATCTTTATTACTACAAAATCAAACGATCGCGTAGCGCGAGCTGACTTTGGTGTTGGAATAAGATGGTACAGGGTATTCCCTAGTCGGGAGCTGCCGACTAGAACCTCTTAGTTGTTAGTTCTATATTTATAATCTTCTTCAGACGTACGCGGCAAGGGTATCGTGTTGAAATCATAAAAGCTAAAATCATGAGACAACTTTTGCATTGTCGGCCGCCTGTCTGGGTTTTGGTTCCAACATTGTTCAACCAAGACTTGAATGATCTTTTTATTTTTATAATCCTTTATAGCATCCAATTTCGGTCGCTCTCCTGTATCGGTTTAATTTAAATAAATTGTTCGTTATTTTGTTAACTAACTCACCTTTCGTGGATAAATTATTAAAGGCGAGCGCATTTGGATTTTCCAGGTGATGAAAAGGTTTCTTTCGTGACATTACTTCCCAGAGTGTAATGCCAAAGCTGTACACATCGCATTTCTCCGTGTATTTTTTTCCTTCGAGAACCTGCACTTGCAAGAGTAATGTTACGTTAGAGCATGCTCTAGACGACAGTGCCTGACTAGAAAATACCCTGTACCCAGTTCCGCAACATACATTGGATATTGGTCATATTTCCTTTAACCCCACACCCTCCTTCTGGAAATTTGTAATTTTCAATATTGAAATGAAAAGCTATGGATAGACAGACGGATGGATGGCTAGAGACGCTTGGCTGCTGATGCTGATTAAGATTATATTAATAGGTACAGGGTATATCAACAACTATATTCAAATTGAAAAATGTAAACCTCTGGTGCTATGTAAGCGGGAGTTCCAACTGTACTCGACATTTTTGAAGCAATTTCTCGTACTGTACCAAAATCACATATTTTCAGTATACGATAATCTTCAAAAAGCAGCAAATTGTTTGGCTTCAAATCGCGGTGGAGAACTGTTGGGTTCCGATTATGCAGATACTCAACTGCCTAGAATTGTTAAAGTGTAAGATTTATTAATTATATCAACTTTACTATATCCCCAACAAGGTGGGAACGCACCCTGGCGCACTGAAACATCAAATTGTGTAGAGCCAGATATGACATATTTTCCAATCTGCTCTTCTCCTTGTGTAGATAGTAATGGAGGGATCCACAGTCCGCATACTCCATGATAAGGTAAAGGTCAGTGCCAATCGTTGTTTTGCCATATAACTCGACAATACTCTCATGTCTAAGGAGCCATAAATTTTGCAATTCCTTATTAAGTTCCGCGTTGTCCTCTGACCTTATAATTAGTTTCTTGGCGGCTACTTTCCTGTCCATCCATTTTGCTTCATAGACCAAACCAAATCCTCCATCACCCAATTGCTATATGAGGTAGAGTTAAGAATATTTTATTTAGAGCGGGATTCTAAGAATTTGGTAAATGTTATCTCTTGCTCCCGATCAAAAACGAAGTCGATGACCGGCTAACCTCTATTGTTATTTGTTATAAATGACGATAAATAAAATATAATATAAAACTTAAAAAAAAAAAAAAAAATCAGCGAATAACAAATAATTAATGACTAATAATAATGGAAATTGCATATTTAGGAGTTATAGAAAAAGCTGAATAGCTCTGCAGTAGTCCTACCTTTATTGTTATGGTAATATCCTTTGCATATATTTCCCTCACCCATGCCATAATTCTCACAACAAAAACTAATACTAATCGCTTGCGAAAAATGGTTAATGACTAAAACTGTTGATTTTTGCCAAAGATTAGACAAGCGTAGAACAACAACGTCGCGTAAGATGCCAGCACGAAAGTAGACTGACTGATAAAAGTTGAACGATCAACATCAATTAATGTTTTGCAAATTATCGATCTTAGTCACTGGAAGGGTTATATCGATATACATATATATCGATATATCGTTGCAAGAGATTCAACAAAATGTTGATTTATAGCTCGGGGAGAACAGCTTTTATTCGCGCGCCGAAGCTCAAATACCCTTGTGCGGTATGTTTGTGTATTCCAATTCGGGAAGATTCGCTAACAGAAGGGCTCTTGAACAGTGGAACATAATATTGAAATCTTAATGCCAATGCAGATGTCTCTATTTCCTTTGATCTCTGAGACATTCTCAAGAAACTGATGCTGAAAATCGATTAATATCGATGTCATTATTATCGATCGACTTGCATTATAGCTGGATTCGACTTAAATAGACAGACAGACCTGACTAGACACTCGACTGTAGATGATGATCAATTTTATGGGGCCGGAAATGCTTCTTGCTGCTAGTTACAAATTTTTGCAAAATGTTTTACCAATGAAATTTTCTAACCAATTTCTTATTATTATTATCTTTATCTGATAAAAGGGGTGTAAAACCAAAACGTAAAGCGGTTAACTGCTTAAGAAACATTTGTCGTTTTTTAAACATTCTTAAACAAAAGCTTACTCGACCAAATACCCTAGACCGTTCCTTTAATAGAATATGTTGATAATAAGCCCCACGCTTTGAATTTATTTAATCATAAATTGTGAATGCCAGACCTTAGAAATGAGCTTCGATTTGTATCGTTATTGGAATTTGGAAATTGGACGAGGTATATAAAATGTATAGAAAAGTCGGACAGACAGTCTGTCACATAGATGAGCACAAAACCATGCTACCCCTTTTTATTTCCATAAAAGAACTATTTTTACTAATCGTTGATATGATAAGATTTTTGAGCAGTATTTGTGGAACAGTAAAGCTTGTTGTTCCCCCAGTTGTTTCTGATAATCTAAAAAAAACAAGAACAAGTCTTATATCAAATTTTGGCCTTTCTTTTGGACTTTAACGTGCAACTGGAAAACTACTAAAGCTAGCAAATATAATCCGACTCAATGCAGTTTTAAGCTATTTGCTTGACAAGCAAAATTATTTCTTACATCTGTTTTCCACCAATTTTCCACACCTTCGGGTGGAATTGTTCTAAGCCCTGTCCGAATGTATCAGAAAAGGTAACTTATGAGTTGTGCTGTGCGTTGATCATCAGTCATTCTGTCAATCAGTCAGTCTGCCAATCAGTCAGTCTGTCAATCAGTCTTTCAATCAGTCAGTCAATCAGTCAATCAGTCGGACAAACTGTTCTAACTAAGGCAATGCTCGGCGTATAATGCCAAATTGTAAGGTTGTGTAAATCGAAAGCATAATTTATGGGCAGCTGGCGCGTTTGACCTTTGCACAACCGGAAACGGAAAGGGAAAGGGAAATGGAAATGGAAATGGCAACGTGCGTTAACATATTTAATTAAGTCGCGTCACAGGTGCGAATGTTGCCCAAAAAGCATGCAGTGAATGAAAGGCCAACCTCCAAAAATGATGACATCAACCCAACCGACGATGACGTCGACGCCATCGACAATTGGCAACTGGACGCGGCTCAAATGTGACCTTGGCACACAATGGACGCCAGAAATTGGTCAGCTTTGATTTAATGTTGGTCTTCATTTGCATGTCGCTTGTGGAATACCCCTAATTCTCTCTCTCTCTCTCTCTCTCTCCCTCCTTAACAACCAATTTGAGTTTGAAGCAGAAAGTTATAAAACTAATATAATATACATATTAAGTTGTGATAAATTCTTAATGCGGAATTCATCTAATAGCAGACAATAACAAATAAATGAACGGTTCGCTTTGATTGAATTTTATTGTTTTAATTTAAGTTAATTCGATTTTCGTTTTGAATCGATTCACAACAACAATTTCTATAGCATACTTTTAGTAGAGCTTCAAATAAATTGTTGATACCTATTTATATTTTTTGGCAAAATATATGCCATGAATATTTTTGTATAATTCTCTTAATAATAAAATATAAATTATTGCCATAGAAGACATCATGAAGCAGATATAATTAATCAATTAATTAAATTTATTTTTATCATTCACTCAAGATTCGAACTCTAAATGCATATTTACTTGTGGGATTCATTCTATATATCACTTGAATTTTTTGGTCAATGTTTTTTCTCTGAATTGCATCATTGGAGGGTGTTCTCTTTGCAGCCCAAGGAATCGAATCTCTATCTCTAGTTTCAACTATTTGTAAGCGAACTGTTGGAAAGTCCAGTAAAATCTGACTGCACAGCCAATAGACACCTCCTTTGATGCTCGTCCCCCTTTTTGCTGCACATTGAAAACAAGCGACCCCATTAGCAGCACTTGGGCATAAAGCTGGCTTGATACTCTTACAAACTGAAGCAGACATATGCGAACTCACAAAGCATTTATGTGCGATTATATGCTTGATCATTAAGCATAGCACAGATCAGTCTTAAGGTATGGTTGATATAGAAACTACCTTTAGCTTGCATAGAAAAGCTCGCTTGGCATATCCACCAAATCTTATCAACATCAGACTTCAAAATCATATAGCTTCTTTAGAGGTTCATCTTAGGGTATTTGATATTCGGCAGCCTGTTCCTTCGTATTATTATTATTTGAGTATAGCTTCTGTGTTGGCCAGGGCCGCGACCTATACCAATCAGGGGCCGCATTGTTTATGATAAATTAGAAAAGCTTGCCAGTTGCACTCAGTCAAAAGTATGTTGAATGCGATAAATAAGCGCCCACGCAATGGATGAGGACGAGGACGAGGACATGGCCGAGGCCGAGGACAGCTGCGAAGCGGATGAGTTTTTGCTCTGGGGCGCCACTAATTGCAGCTACTGTGTCTGTTCCCCCTAAGCTCTGCATTCGCATTATGCATACTGCATATTGCACATTGATGAGAGCTGGCCAAATAATTAGGTTTTTTCTTTTCTGCAGCGGGAGGCCAGCAGCTGCATGCGGCTGCATTTTGCTATTTAACTACATTTTGTTGTTGTTGTGATTGTGCCTTGCAGCCATGTGGGAGCCAAGAGGTTATTACTGTCAAAACGCACCCACGCAGCGCGCAAGGACAATGGGCATGGGCCAGAAGCACAGCTGCCAGAGCAGCAGAAGCGTAAAAGGCTAGTTTTTAGCTGGCCACAAAAATAAAAAATGGCTAAAAAAGGTTTATGTGAAGCAAACGCCGCCAACGAGATTTCATTTTATTGTTGCTTTATTTATTTATTAAAACTAAATTTAAATATGCCTACTTAGAAGTATTTGAGACTTGTGATACTCAATCAATCTCTCCTATGATAGCTATATGATATAGTTATTCATTCCAGCTAGCTTTAAGTTATGTACTCTCAGGAATAAAAAGATGAAGCTAGACGAAGTTTCATATAGATAGCTTTAAGGCTAAGAGACTAGACGGACATGTTCAGATAGACTGAATGGAAATATGTAAAGAGTTTATCATGTCATAGAAGACACCTATGAACCCATCGGATACTTAGCTATATATAAAGCTGTCTATCATCAGCAAGGCTAAACAAAAAATAGCCAGATTTGACGGTCGGTTGGCAACACTGGCCAGAAACGGCGCCACGCCTCGCCTCGAATTGCCACAAGGTTCGTTTCCTTTGGCGCTCGGTTCTGGAGCTCGTGTTGTTGCCGATGACGTCGCCGTTTTGTCGTCCTTTTGCGCCAGCAACAGCACAATTCCAAATCCCTCGAACAGTTTGCAATTGGCCAATGCTGGCGCCACAAGAACTCAGCTAAGCGCGTGACGAGAATCGACAAAAATTTAAATTAAATCAAATAAATTCAAATTCAAATAAAATACCATTGAAATAAATTGAAAATAAATATAGACGAATAAAAGTTGTATTACACGAAAAGTGTTGAATAGCGACGCGTGGAAAAGCCAGAGGAAAACAAAAAGAAAAAGCGCCGTGCGAAAATGTGCCTTCGCCTGATGAGGTCGTCAGCTATTTTGTTGCTATTGCATTTCCTCTGCTGTATATCACAAGGTGTGTGTACGCGACCGTGTGTGTGTGTGTGTGTGTGTGCTGTTTCAGTATTTTCAAAGTTTTCAATTTGTTCAGCAGATTTGAAAAATATAACAAATTTGCTGTAAAGTATTTTAAAGCAAACAATAAAAATAGTTCAAAAAATCAAATAAAATAATATATCATAAATTAAATCTAAGCTCTAAGAAAAACATAGCAATCGGGTGCTAACGACTGCGCAATACTCTGCTCACAGCTAAAAAAAATAAGAGCTTGAAAGAAAGCTTTATGGTTTTGGCTTGAAAACTTTAATCCGATTGAGAATATATTATTAAATTATTATTAAATATTAAATTAAATATGACTGGGATGTAATCAAATCAAATCAAAATATTTGAATTGAAGTGTTGGAAACTTCTTTTTTTATACCCAAAATGGGTATAAGGATATATTGTATTTGTGCAAAATCCAAATGTATGTAACAGGCAGAAGGAAGCATCTCCGACCCCATAAAGTATATATATTCTTGATCAGCACCAATAGCTGAGTCGATCTAGCCATGTCCGTCTGTCTGTCTGTCTGTCCGTATGTATAATCGCAAGGATCTCAGAACCTATAAAAGCTAGAGACTTGCAATTTCAGATAAAGGCGCTCCTAGTGCCTGCGCAGATCGACTTTGTTACCGATAAAACTTGACATATAGCTTCTAAAATAGAATATATATGCATTTGATGTTGGAATAAAAGGTATCCCCTAGTAGGGAGTTCCCGACTAGAACCTCATACTTGTTTTCTCCTAAATTAGGGCAAAGAAACACTTTCACCTGATTCGGTCATATAAGAGTTTATATTCCAACTATATATCTCTATATAATTGCATTTCTACCGAGGCTCCAAGGCATCAGTATAAGTATGAATACTCGATGGTTCAAACCCACGCCCTAGGCTTGGGTTTAATAAAATTGGCTAATACTAAGTATGCATAAGTAAAAGCATTGCGTGGAGCCCAAGTTTCATCTGTTGGACTGGGTTCAACTTGGATTTCAGTTCGTCAGTTTTTTGGACAAATATTTGGTTTTAGTTTCGGTTCAAAGTTTGCAGCCCTGACTTGTAATTTCCAAGCTTTAGTTTGCAGGGTTCAAGTCCCGCCGCTAGCTGTGAGCAGAGAACAGAGCTTGGAAAAGAAAAAGCATATATGTAAAATGTGAATTATGTTGCATACCCCACAGGCGCGGCCATCAAATGTTTTGTCTGCGACTCGAGCGACAATCCCAGCTGTGCGGATCTCAAGTCGAACTCGAGCATTGTGCCTGAGGTAAGTCCGCCCGCTGCACCATAAACAAAAATCTCAGATAGTGGCCGGCACATGTGGCATGTGGCATGTGGCATACGCTTAACCTTTGCCCATGCCCCGAGTGCCAGTCAGCTAATCAGAGCCCGTTGACCTTAATCAAAGTGCCACTAAATTTAAAAGCACATAGCACATAAATTCTAGAAAAAAAAGGGGAGAACTGAAAAAAAAAAGAACCGAACGGAAAACGGAAACGGAAACGACGTCGTCGCTGTACTCGTCATTGTTGTGACCGTTAAATGAATGTGTTGGCATCTCTCCATTGCATTGCCCTTCCCCCCCTTCCCCACTCTCCGCAGCTGACCCAACCGAAATTTCCTTTTGAGCAGCTCTTTGAAGACATTTTCACTTGGCAGCTTAACAAAACTGGAATTCGTTCTATTTGGCATTATTCAAGTGGGAATTTACACTGCTAAGGAGGCGAAGAAGGAGGCTTAAAAAGTGTTATCCTATAGACCTGGCCAAACGCCGACTATAATGAAGCAAAATTAACATGTACATATATATACACATTGTAAATATTTAACTTAAGCTTTCATTACCAAAAACTCACGCTGATAAAAGTTGCTAAAAGTGAAAAGTAACAGAAAATTAGCAAAAATAAAAGTAACTTAAACCATAAAAAAAAAAAAAAAAAAAAAAAAAAAAAAAAAGGGAATTTACAGTCCAAGTTCCATTTGTAAAGAAATTATTATTCGGCAAACATCTGGTTTTTCCTGATTGAAAACTTTATTACTCAAAGCTTATTAATGTAGAAATAAATATGAAGCACTTAAAGCTTTTTAACTATTTTAAAAAATATCGTGAAAATATTATATATATATACGAAGTCTTAATACTCGAAGTCTTAATACTCTGATAGCTGAGAGAATAGAATAATAGATTTAAATCTTCCACGAGCGAATTATAATTTATGGAGAATTTATAGGGAGAATTTTTGTCTAAAACAAAAAACTAGGAAAAGGTCAGAAATTATCAGTTAGAGTTATATATGCCAACAATTGGAAATAGAGTTAAGCCTAAGGCAAAGCAAGAAATGAAGAAAAAAAGCCATGTTAAAGTGCGCCTAATGGGGGAAAACCCAAATTCGAATCCAAATGATTATAAATCAAATCATTTCCAGCTAACTGATATAGAGGCCATATACGAGCTTTAGATCAGCCTAGTTTCTCGGCCAACGCCTGGTGTGCAGCAAGGCCGTTGCACCATCGATTGCGATAACGATAGCGATAACGATAAAGATAACGATAACGATAACGACTGTGATGCATGCTTGATAAGATAAGCGCTGGTAACTGCAGCAGCAATTAAGAGTGCAATTACAAAGCCAAGACATTGGCTGGGTCGGCGGAGGGGCGCGAGTCTAATCAATCTAATCAATCAATCATCAATCATTAGCCATTGTTCGCTGCACAAATGTTTGCCAAAGACGTTAAACAACTAATATTATCGGATTTCTAGGAATGCACATTGGACAAAATGAAATCTCTGGACACCTGGCTATTCGATTTGAACAAGTTCTCGTATTTCGATAATGGGGCCAACAAGCATCCGCTGATGAATTGCCAAAAGGTGGTGGCCACAGACCGTGAGTAATAAATATATAAATAGCATTCAAAAAATATATATTTAAAAAAAAAAAAAAAAAAATTACTTGCGTATCATATTTTATTATGATGAATTCTAGAAATGATACTCATATTTTATTTTATATTTTTACAGAATTTTTGAAGTCAAAAAAGCTAGAAGTATATATACAATTTTAATGCTGATTTTAACTAGCTTTTCATTTTATATAATTTTGTTATAACAAATTCATTAATTGTGTTTAATTATGATTCATTTGTTTGAACATTTCGATTAATAAAATGGGTTCCGATTTGGGAAAGTTTTGATGATATAAAGAAATAAAATAAAGAAAATTAAAATTTTGTAATAGAAAAATATATATATAATGTCCCAAAGTAGAGCACAAAAAAGTCTAGACTTTTGACATAGTCTGATTAAAAGCCGCCTATCAGCTGTTTTAAGCTGGTTTAACACATCGTAAACAGAGTATTGAGCAGTTGCTAGCACCCGACTAAATCTTTTCTGCTTTTTTTATGCTCTCTATCATCTTCAGCTGATACCAACAAGCTGGTCACGGCACGCTTCTGTCAGCTGGACACTGGGGACTCGGATGCGTGCGATATATTGCGCTCCAAGCTGCGCATCACCAGCGACGGCAGCGGCAGCCAGCGGCAGCGACGCCGCGAGCGGGACCAACAGCAGCAGCAGCAGCAGCAGCGGCGCAAAGGATATGGCCAGGATGCCGGCGAGCAGTCGCCCGAGGAGGAGTTCTTTTGTGACATCTGCAAGACGGATCGCTGCAATGGGGCGGCCGCTGTGACGCTGACGTCGGCGTCGCTGCTGGCGTTGGGGCTGCTGCTGACACGCCCACTGAGCGGCTGCTGAAGCGTTGAATGGTTTGCTGGCGGGCGGCGGACGGGCGGCGGTTGCATTTAGGTTGAGTTAACGTTAACCTTTATCGTTTACTTTGTAAATATTCGAGTGGCCATCGAGCGACATTGTTGAGTTTGTAAAAGAACAAAAAAAAACCAAAAAAAAAAAAAAAACACGCTATAAGTCTACCCCCAAGCCCCAAGTGCCCCCAGGCCAACCCACCACAGCCCACACCGACCACCCTTAAGGCCGCCAAGGCCCTAGACATGTAAGTGACAGCACACACAGATACAAAATACAAATACTGACACATACAGATACAGATACACAGATACAGATACACTCCCGCAGTGGCAATCGCTTTGAGTCCTAAGCAAATATGCGAATTTCAATTAACAGCTAGCAAATGGCCAAAGGAGAACACAAAATTTATGTGTCTTATATCAAGGATTTTCAATTCAATTTGTTCGATTGCGAGCACAGTGTGCACAGTGTACTTGTTTATGCAAACAGCTTAACATTTACAGTGCTGCCACCTAGCAGGAAACTGCACAGATATGGCAACACCAAACAGTATACAATTAACATGAACTTTGCCAGGCAGTTGTTGAATGGCTTTATGGCTTTATTGAGTTGTAATTGATTTGCTTTGAGCAAATGCCTGATGAGCTGAATGTTGTGTATAAATTCACCAAATGCCTTTAATTTTCTATTGTTCACATTGCAATGTTGAATATATATATATGATCGAACAATTATATTTATATATATATGAGTACTTATGATGCCATGAAGTAACTCTGAGTTAGTTTAGGTTTAACCGCTATTATTGAAAAATCACAAAACATTATCTTCTTTTTTTGGCTTTTAAATATTTCTTTACTCTTGCCTTCAGGTTATTTCATGGTACATTATATTTATATCGAATGAATGTGTATTTCTAGGTAGACACAACTTAAATAGTTGCATTATTGTTGCAAAACTCATTACAAAAAAACAAAAAGAAAATCGAAAAAAAAATATTTACATATATTAAAAAAGGAATGAAATGTCAACTCAATGAATTCATTTAAACTTATAAACAACACGTTTTATATTACAAATATTTATGCAAAAAAAAAAACCTTTAAAGAATACGCTAGCAGTGTTTAAATGTTTCAACAAATGCGAACGCCTTAAGCAATAACCTTATATATATTAGAATTAAAATGTATTTATACTATGATTTTCGAAACACGCAAAAACAATCAGCAAAAGTGTGAAAAATTAGAAAAACAAAAACAAAAAAAAAACAAAAAAGTGCAACAAATGTTAATTAAATGTGCAATTAGAAAAGTTTAACAAAGCAATACATACAACTATTTGTGAAAAAAGAAAGAAAAAAAAAACGAATAAAACAAAGAACAACAAAACTTTTAAAGCGAGCTTAATTAAGTGCATACGTCCCATGGCCACGCCCACAAAACAGAAAACAAAATATGCTCATTTCAAATGCAATTTGTAGAAGTCGACTTAAGCGAAATGAAAATATGGCAAATAAAACAAGCGCGTCAAGCAAAACCTGCATGACAATATAACAGTATAACACTTGCACTCGATATGCACAACTGTATAACAGTGAAAAGCAGTTAACTTTGCTAGCTCTACTTTTTATTGCAGTGCACGTAACGGTTTCACATGCATCACAGTATAACAGTTAAGATGTCTGTAACAGAATAGCACAGTTTTCTTGTGACAATCATTTGTGGATATCAATAACAATAAAATAGTTGAAACCACGGTAAGGCTGCGTCGCACAGTTTATAGAGACAGTTATTTGTGCAGCCGTGCAAAGGTCTAAATTATATAACAGTATAACAGTTTGAACCACTAAGGTATTGCGTAGCATAGTTAATATTGCAAGCTGTCCTTCTGTTTCCTGATCGATTTTAACTTAATTGCTTTTTACTTTCACGGAAATGCCTAATAATAAAGTGTCGTTATACCCTGTTTCCTTTTAAAAATGTTTAAAAAAAAACAGGGTGTATCGCACTTGTGCAAAGGTATGAACTAGAGATCATTTACGACACTTAATAATTCTATTTTCCCTATAAAAGGTAAAAGTCTTTTAATTTTACATTTATCCTGAAGAAAAATATTGGAAATTCTCAAATCAGTATAACAGTAGTAAGTACTCAGAACTGGCTACAGGGCATTTATCAGTCGCGCACTCCCAATTGAAACAACTATAAATACAAGTTGATACACAAGATTGTTTTCATGGGTAGTATAACAGTGTAGCACAGTTGCCTGTTGCTCGTGACTTTTTGGCTTCCTATGTTGTCTTTGTCAATCAGCGATAATATTCCCATTACTCATGTTAGATGCAACCATCCAACCACCCACCCACCCATCGCCCCGCACGGGCACCATACCAAACCGTGCGTTTAATTTGAAACTCTTTTTGGCGATGCTATCGAGGCGTCGTCTTGTCATCCAGCACAGTGCGACATGTTTCAGCAGTACCGCAAATTATTTTCGCCCTCGCATTGTGAAGATAGCCGCTGGAAAAAATTTGATTGAGTCAGCCGAAAGACAGCAGCCAACCGACGACGACGACGACGTGTCGATATCATTGCTGGCAGTTCTATTTAAATTTTCGGTAGCATCGGCCGCAGTTTTCCTACCACAATTCAAATTACATTTATCCTCAAGATAAATATTTATAAGCTACATTTCGTTAAACGATATGCGTTCAATGTTGCTGTTGATTCTGTGCCAGCTGCTGGCGGTTTACTGTGCTGGCAGTTCAGGTGCGTGGAGGCAATAGCTCCTGGCTGAAGCTGGTAGCTAAACTAATTTATTGACCCGGCAAGTCGAACCTTAAAATATGCACCACCTGTCTTACAGCGCTGAGCTGCTACAAGTGCGAGGATTGCGATGAGCATTCCCATTTGTCGGAGCTGGAAGTATGCAGTGTACCGTCCACGGAGTCGCAGCAACAGCCGGCTGGAACTGGCCTGCCAGCTGCATCGAGTCCGAGTCCAAGCCCAAGTCCAGCGCCTGCATCCAGCCCAGCAGCTCCAGCAGCCAATCCGCCCAAACCGGCTGCAGCTGCTAATGCGCCCGCTCCAGCTTCCGCGTCCGCCCCAACACAAACTCAGTTTCCTCCCAAGCCCGGTTCCGAAAGTGAGACTGAAGAGGATTATGAGAGCGATGAGGAAGAATCTGCAGCACCATCCACTTTGGGCATAATGCCCGCTGGCAGCAATAGGCCTGCAGCAGGTGCAGCAGGTGCAACAGGTGCAGCAGGCGGAGCTGCTGGCGTAGGATTAGGCGCGAATGGGGCCTCGGGGTCAGCTGCTGCTCCAGCACCAGCAGCAGCAGCTGGAGCCGCTGCTGCCGTGCCAGCCGCCGCCACCGGAGCCGGAGCCGGAGCCGCTGTTGGCGACAGCGAAACAGCCGAGGATGAAGAGGAAGAAGAGGACTATGATGAGCGACGCAGGCGCAGCGTCGGTCGCCAGAGCCTGGACACGCAGCGGGCCGTTTGTTATATTGCTAGTCTAAGACGTAAGTGCAACTATCCGAAACTCTATCTATATAAGACTGAATGGCTGATTGAAGACTGATTTAAAACTGATCTAAGACTGATTGAAGACTGATTGAAAACTTATTAAGGACTGATTGAAGACTTACTAAGCCCTGGTTAAAGAAAGATTGAGACTTATTGAAGACTGACTGAAGACTAATTGAAGACTGATTGAAGACTGATTGTAGTCTGATTGAAGTCTGATTGAAGACTTGTTAAAGACGGATTGAAGATTTATTAAAAACTTATTAAGGACGGATTGAGGACTGACTGAAGACTGATTGAAGACTTATTGAAGACTGATTGAAGACCGATTGATTGTCTGATGGAATTTGATTGAAGACTTGTCAAAGACGGATTGAAGATTTATTAAAGACTTATTAAAGAAGGATTTAGGACTGACTCAAGACTGATTGAAGACTGATTGATGATTGATGGTCAAGGCACATCCTTAATTGTGAAAGTTATAAAACGATATTTTTCTTTCTTTTGCAAACTGTTTGCCCATTTTTAAAGACCCTTTTAAAGTGTTTTTCCTTAAGCTAAAAGCAAAGTATTAATTTTCGGAAACCTTTTTATTTTATCATAATATTTCCAAAATTTACCTTGACTGAGAACGTTTTACTCTTTTTAGCTAACCTCATTCAATCGCATTCTCCGAGCTGTTTACCTGAACTAACTTTTAGTTTGCGTAAGCCAAATTCTCAAAACAGCTTTGTTCTTAATTGTCGACTTAACAAATAATTCCATGACGATGTTAGCCGGAACAAGTCGCATTTTATCGCTGGAAAATTGTTTATGAAAAACTGTTTCTGCTGACTGAGAGTATTTAAACAAAATGTTTCACCGTATGACGTCAGAGAGTACAAAGAATTTCACCAACAGGGGCGCAAAATAGGGGAAAACTATTTGTATGCGTCTTCTTTTGGTTTTACTATCCAAAATCAACTTGAAAATCCTTTTAAATATATAAATAAATAGATGACAAAGCCGATCATTTTCGCAATCATGCTTTCAGCGAATTCTTGAGAATTCACGCAAACGAACGGAAAATAGGTGAAAAACTGAATTTCAATCTTAAATAAAAGAAATAGTTTTGTGTTTAGCGTGCATTTATTTAAAATCAGTTGTAGTGCGTGTTACATCTAGTCATATGAATAATAATATGATAATAAATATATTAATTAGTCTGATAAATATTTCTTAAATTAACCTAACATTTTCTCTTTCCATTTAAACTTGGACTCTTGTGTTCTGGGCAGTTAACGGCACGGAAATAACAAATCGTGGCTGCATGATTGTCACGGATAATAATCAGACGGACGCCTGCAATACCCTGTTTAATGGCTGGAATGTGGTTGGCTGCAACCTATGCGAATGGAATGGCTGCAATATACCCATATGGAGCAGCGGCTCCGGCAGCTGCCGTTTATCAGGCCGCACGGCGCTGGCTATGACGCTGCTGGCCGTGTTGTCTTCGGCATGGATCTGTAATTGATAACAACAAAATATAATCTATAATAATAAATATACATATATATATATATATATATATATGGTTTATTGCCTGCCGCGATTTATGAACCAGTATGCAGTCTATTTCGATCTTAATTACGCGCCATAGCTGGTGAGCGGGCCGGTCTATTTTTGCCTAATTGTACAATTGGTAAGTGATACGCGATAAGAGGGGGAAAATGCCCAATCATTTGGGCTACCCGTTCACAGTTCAACTAATGACAAATCAATTACAGCAGCTGATAAGCTGCAGTTAAACGATGGCAACAACAACAACAAAACCAATGAAGAAATTATGTCTGACTTCATTTCTATTGCTGATAACTGATGATCAACGCCGATCGACTGATAGCATTAGGCCTCAAGTGGCAATCGCTGCCGGCAAATTGAGCGATTTACAGCCAGACAAATCGACACTGAAACAATTGCGCCCAGTTCTCAATTAGGTGATGAACAAATCTGCCGTTTGCCTGCGGAAATGTGATGTCAACTTAACGGATTCGCGTTTAAGGCAACTTGTGCTTGGCAACGGGCAGCTGTTTGCTTCTGATATACCCTGTATTGAGTGCAAGCGGGTATACAGCTTCTTCAACTCCATAGCCATATCAATGCATATTCTAGCAGACTGTGTTTGTCTGTCGGCTCTCGTATACCATACATTGATCAGGAATAGTTCATATCTTGAATACTTTTTCCGTAACACCTCAAAATTATGAAACAACTTATTTTTGGGATATCCTTACCTCTTGACGTTCTGAAATGTTCATTCCATGCACACAAAAGTTAATTATGTATCAATTTTGCAAAGTGTGTTTAAGAGAAGCTCAGTGGAAGTTAAAGTTAAGACGTGTTGACTACAGGGTATACACCAGTCGAGCACTCTCGATCGACGTCTGTTAACTGGCTGTGAATGCAATTGCCAAATTTGTGAGGCTGCTTAAAACGCGTATGGCATTCTATAGTATATATGTATATATATATATATATATGGTATATATATATGAAGCGAATACAAAGACGGGCTGGGCCTGTTTGCTTCCTTGTTTTATTTTTGTAAGGCTTAAAACTTCCGGGACAGTTGGTATTACGCCAAAAATCGCACACGCAATTGCGTTCTCGGCAGGCTAACATATGCCGACTTTGAGCTCTCTGAGAGCAGCGTGTGATATTTTTTGTTCTGTCTCGTTTTTTTTTTTTTTGTATTTTTGGCGATTTACGTGATGTCGCCAGCAATTGAATACCACAAATTTCCGATTTTATTTTCATTTGTTTTTGTATCATTTTTTTTGTCAGTTATCTGCGGACCGTGTGTCTGCGTCTGAGAAACGAAATATTGATGCGTCAGTTAATAGCCAGACACTAAACACGATTTCTGGCCATTTGGCACGAACCGCTCGCAGTTGAATGATACACATACGAGTTCACAATATATGTCATAATATACGAGTATGCACGATCTAGTATAGTCGGTGCCAGCAAAAGAATCAGGGTCAAACCTTAGAACCTTACATCTGAGCTAACACACATTTCTGGTCCATTTACAAAATTCATATAAAATACAGTTCTCAGTCTTTGGCCCAACATAATTTTGTTGAAAACTTAACAAATTTAATAAAGATTGAACTTCAAAAAAAATAATATATATATATATAAGTATTAATTTTGATTTGATTTGTTTTTAAAGTTCTTTTGCTGCTCTTCCTTCCCAAAAATTGAAGATTTAGCCATACTTTTATCTTAGAAGCTAATTGCTTTTGCTTTGCTCAAACTTTCCCATTGTTAAGCTTATTATTGTAAAAGAAGTGCAATACCCTGTAAGAGCACTCTGTCTTATATATTTTAATCAAATGCCAAGGTTATTCCGGGCCAACATTCAATTTTCGGGGACCTTGGCTTTGCTTATCAAATGGCCCCAAGCAAAAGTCTTGCGGCCTTTTGCGCATTTCAGTAACATTGAATGCCGTTAACCTTTTTGTGCGTTCAAATGGAAAGTTGTTGTTTTTGTTCCCTTTGCCTAAGCAGTGCAGTGCGGGCTCTTCTCGGCGATTCTCAAAATCTACATCTTGCTGCCGCAACAACGCGATCAGCCACAAAGTCGCACAATAGGTGTAAATGGGCCGGGTAAATACAAAATAAAAGTCTGTGTTAATTGAGGTAAATTGAAATCGAGTTTGTTGATTTTGCGTGCTTTTAATATTGAGTAATATTAATCATGCGACAATCGCACAACATCAACATCAATCCCAATATACGAATATTATGTAAATGTAAGTGCACGCAGGGGATGACAAATGTTTACCCCCAAAGAGGAGCGTCGTATCAGGGTGTGGGCGTTGATCTCAGCAAGAACAACAATAATCAGAATTAGCTAACTATCCATGCTAAGCGCTTAATTAGCATATAAGGTAGTGAAAAAGTCGCTCAAGCAGTGTACACTGAAAGAAAAAATGTTGTACTCACAGCAAGCACAACAAAATTGTGCCTAGAACAATATCTTTAATACGGATGTTCCTAAATAGAAGACACAAATAGAAAATATTCTCAATATAATTTAGTTATCCAGTCAGATTTATTATCTTAAGCGGTTGCTTTTCTCTGAGTGTATCATATAAAGTCCCAGCTGGGGTATTTTGTAAAAACCCAGGCATTGAATCACTTGCAAAGCCGGGAAATCTTCTGCCCGATTCGCTATCTCATTATAAGAATTCCCTGACGGGGCGCTGACGTTTACGATCTGGAAACTGGAAAAGCATAAGTTGAAAGAGCTGCAGCTAAAGAGAGCTCAGCCAAAGAGCTCAAGAGAGAGCGAGTTCGCGTTTCTCTTCAACTTTTACTTTTTTGGCAATTTGGGTTTTGCATTATAAATTAATTTGTTATCAATAAAATAATGTACGCACACACACACACACGCACTAACTAACCGCACGCGGCAGCACTTGTTAGCGCTCCCTCTCTCTCTCTCTCTTTCTCACTCTGTCTCTCTCTCGCTCTGTTTCTCTCGGCAGCTAGCTGTCTCTTTCTGGAGCGTCGCAGCCGTCGCTGCGCAAGTCGCTTATAAAACTCTATAAAAAGTCTCAAACAAATCACAAGATTTTCAGTTAAATTCCAGAATTCGTAAACTGCGGTCGCAAGTGAAGTCGCGTTTGAAAATACGATATAAACACACACATATATATATATATAAATATATATATTTTGCATAAATCTTGCGAGCAAAGATTTATAACAAGCATACAAAATCCGGGTTTTTTTCAAAAAATTACAAAGACAGACAGAAAGAAATAATAATCAGAATGCGTCGTGATAATAATTTAATTCTGTTCAGCGCCCTCATTTGGCTGCTCGTTGCGCCAGGTAAGAGTTCAGGTGTTTCGGTGCCCCAAAATGTGTCAGAACCGTTATTCGATATTCGAGTGATAACTCAAAAGTCAGATATTAGCCTAAGTCCGAGTGTCCAAAATTGTGATACAAGATTGATGCGCCCGTATTAAAAGTGGATCGTGTCGGATCGCTGGAATTCGATTTGTTAAGCACCAACAGCAAAGTCGGAACGAAATCTATAAAAAAAACAAAAAAAAACAAAAAAACTACTTTTTTGATAATATGATAAAATAATTATTATTTGCTGCTATTTATAAACAATTTGTGTGCCGCTTGTGAAATGCAAAGCAGAATAAAAAGAGAGAGAGAGAAAAAAAAAGAGAATTATATTCAAAATGCAAATTCATTTTTTCTGCCCATTAACATTTATTGCAATCGCAACGTTTTTGTGCATGTTAAACAAATCACAAATCAATATAAAAAAAACACTATAATTATAAAAAATGTATACAAAGAAAAAAAACTGTCTGGTTGAGAATCAGAGTCGAGAACAATTGCAGTTGATTTTTTCTTTCATAAATAATGCGAAAATAGTTGGCAATTTTTTACGTTCACATTCCTTTTTTTTTGCAAATGCGGAAATGTTGGCATAAAGCAGACTTAAGTCTGAGAATAGAGATAATGATGTACTTTTTGCATATCTATAATATTTATAGATATGCCTACGAAGTGCGAACTTCTAGGCATATCAAAAATAGAAGTTAGAAATGCGGCTCTCAGCAGGATCTCAGTTAAATAAATGAAGCTGGCTTTAAGAAAGGCGGAAATGAATGAGTGAAAACAGAGAGAGACAGGGAGAGAGAGGAGGAGAGAGATGGAGTATAAGAGCTAAACATAATAAATTAAAAAAAAAAGCATAAATTTAAAGAAAAGTAAATTGATTCATTCGACAAGTTTTGCTACCAATCACAGCACAAATTCCCATAAAAACAAATGGGAAAATATTTCAAATAATTCAAATCGAAAATTGCCAAATATTCTAGCCAATTTCAATATAGACATATAGATATAAATACTCTAAATTACTCCAAAGTGATAAAAAAAAAGGCATATACTTATTATCAGAGCTCAATATGAGTACGACACGTGCCCAACTCTCAATGACTCCGAAGTTCTCAAAAAAAAAATTGAAAAATAGTTCAAGTAATAACCAATTTTCCTAACCAATATCAATATAGATATATTACCTATATAGTTTATTTATTGGAGCTCAGCACGAACACGTGCCAAACTGCTTATCACAGTCTGAAGTGCTCAAAAAAAAATTTGGAAAATATTTCTAATTATTTGAATACTTTTTTTTTAGGCATTTGAGAGTTTTTTCAAAAATTTCAAAATAGACACATAAGTATATTAAAAATAATATTAGAGCTCAGCACAGGCCCGACCCATAGAAAAATAGATAGTTCACGTGGTCAGCTCCACTGCCAAGTAAAGCATATATTAAAATAGAGCTGATTTCGAAAGGCGTCTTGAATTTGTTGCTGCATTTGAAATGCATTATTCGAGCTATATTTTGTTTGTTAGTCTCGATATTGACATTGAAACTGCGTCGACTGCTAATTGAAAGGCTGCGATTCGAAGCGTTTTAGTTGGCTACCTCAGAGCGTACTTACAGACATGTATGGGACACATGACAGCCGTCGTTTAGCACATTTTTTAACAAAAACAACAATAACAACGAGAACAACAACAACGAGAACAACAACCTGCCCGGCCGTTTAGCACCAAATCAAAAAACTTGAAATTCTCGCCTGATTTGAGTGCAAAATGTAAAGCATTTACGTAAGGCCAACATTTGCAGATGTTTTTGTTTTTCAAATTGCCTAATTATAGAATATTTAAAAATTATTACAATAAATATAAAAATAAAACACTTTCATTATATAACGCCAAGACTGCACAATTCTTAATGATCTGTCAGATTTCCAGGCCATTTATAATAATTATTATAAGGCCTGTTCGGTTTAAGACTTTGAGCGCGTGCATATTAATTTAAAAAAATTTTAATACACTTCACTTGAGTTGTAAAACAAATATGCAACTTCGCGGAAGTCTACACTCAGAGAAAAACAACATTACCCTGTACGCAAGCTTAAAGTTGAGACAAATTTCTTAAGCTCAAAACAAGTTTTTCAACTTGAGAACTTTTCTTAACTTTTCTTCTTAAGAAGCTTTTCTTGTAGTTATAGTTTTTATAATCGATTTGAAGATTTGAATTTATCGAATTCCCATTTGTAGCCCCGTTTTTTTCCGAGTGTATAATACAAATTGCGCCCTAAGAACTTAGTTCAGCAAAGTCTTTGTTAACGAAACTGGTTTCTGGACGAGTCGTGGATGCACAATGCAAATGAATAAAATTATTCTTTATTGCAAACAATTAGGCAAAAAACAATAAAAATGAGACAAGCCTCAAGTTCAAGCACAAATTCAAGAAATTCCCGTACGCGTTGCTTATCACGTGCCACTAAAGGCACATAAATATTTGAGCTACAGCTCCTCCCACTCCTTCTCCGCCGGACGGTCGTCCATCAATCAATGTGATTTATTAATAATTTTTAAGTCAACAATCGCGCAACTCGACCATATCGTATATCATAGCAGGAGTGTTGCGCTCAAAAAATGTGTGTACAAAATTGTATGGACTACGCGGCGTATGAGCAATTTATATACCCTGTTTACAGGCATTGCAAAGGGCTGTATTGGCTGGCTTTCCAACTGACAAGTTGAGTGTCAAATTTCGTATATCAATATCAAAGTTTTAGAGCCATCAGCAGATTCGTCGGACAGATTACTCAAGAACGACTCTTAAGAACAAACCAGGCTATAACGCCACGCCTCAACAAATATCGAAAGTTCTACTTGCACAGTTTTGCAGCCAAAGTTGACAGACTTGTCAGACACTTACCTGATAAGCTCTTTATGCATTTGGCTAAAAGTATTTTGCACTCCCAAATCAGAAGAGTACACAGTTTGAAAGTCACTTTGACAGTTTCTATGGCCAAAGCCAGCAGATTTAATAGGTACCATTTAATCTCGTTATATTAATTCGCTTTTATACAAATAGATCGCACACATCTATGTTGCCCAAAGTCATAGTTTGAAAGTCACTTATTTGATACAGTAACAGGAATAGTTTTAAAGTCACTTTGGAAGTCTTAAGCCAAAGCCGTTGCTGTTGAACTGCATGAAAGAATCCCCACGCTCGCGTTTAACCAAATAAATCACTTTAAGCCATATTTTCCAAAGACGCAGTTTGAAAGTCACAACTTTGTTATAGTTACAGTTTTAGAGTCATTTAGAGTCAATTGTGAAGAGGCCTCTTTTGTCAGCTGTTTACAAACAGAGTATTGTGCAGTCACTAACAGCCAACGTGTTACGCTTATCAGCCGAAAGCAGACAATTTGACTGACATTTGGATGAGCATGAGCTAAGCCCCGCCCACTGCGAGTCCGCCCATGAGTCATCCGCCGCCCGGGCAGATGGCAGATGGCAACTGGCACCTGCAGCACGCTGCTCCCTACTCGCTGAGTCTGCTCTGATAAGGCAATTGACGCAATTACGCGAATGTCTCAATAAGCTAGCTCTCGGCACGGTGCAAATATTTGTTTATTTGTTTGTGGTAAATTGCCAACCGGTAGCTGGTAATTTGCATGGCAGAGGAGGAGCACGTCTGTGGTCGCTTTGGCGGTATGGAGTGCACAATAATAGCTTCAGTTCAAACATTGAACTAATAATAAAGAATGAGCAAATAATACGAGAAATGCGTTAACAGAGTCTACGAGCCCGTTTGCCTTGATTTATGGCCCGCACATGGTCGAGCTCCGATCGCTTTGTCATCGTTAATCGTTTATCGCTCGCTTGTTGTTCATATTTACCAAAGCTGTAAATTGTTTGAACCCAACCAGAGATAGGGTCTTAACGATACCCTTATGATATATATATAAGTATATCAGTGCGCTGGCAATTGTTGGAAAGTCAAAAAATTAAAAAAAAAATAGAATGATGAATGATGTACAAAAAAATCAATGCACTTCAACTACGAATATTTTGACCATGAGTAAAAAGTAAGCCCATATCGAAAGTGACATGCTCAATAGATAAAACAAAAAATTATACAAATCTGGTAAAGATTCTGTTCTCTATATATGATATAGTTATCCGACTTCGACAGAAGTCGACAAGATATGTTATAAGAAAAATGAAGAATCTATTTTGAATATCAATCGTTTCTATATATACATATATAATATATATATACATATATAGTCGTTCGAACCGGCCGAGTCCGACTTATGCAAGTCAAAGTTGATGTAGACAACATATATATATACTTACCGGGCTTGGAGATGTCTACCCCGAATGACATAATAAGCATGCCAACTGCAAGTTTATAGATAAATGTTGATTGACTTTACCATACCCTGTTCGCTTCAGGCCGCATAAAGTATGCGGCTCATAGACCACGACTGGAGGATTCCTCATGAGCAGCTGCTTGGACTCACATTAGACGGGGGCTTTTGCATAAAACTTGTTGAACTGGCATATTTGTAGCTTCAATACTAACCCAATACTGGCCAACTCTCTTGCAGCTTGTTTGGCGGATCTGATGTGCTATGTGTGCGATGACTGCGAAAAGGTGACCAAGGAGACACCGCTGCTGGCCTGCAATGCGGACTTCTTCAATCAGGGCGGCAGCACCGAGGCCTCAACCGTGACCACGACCAGCACAACAACAACAATAACAACGACAGAATTCACCACAGACGAGGCGCCGACGAGCAGCAGCGAATACACCCCAGCCGAGACCACCACACCCGATAGCACCCCCAGCGATCTGGTGACCAGCACCATAGCAACGGATTCGACCAGCGAAATGGTCACGGAAAGCACGGAGAGCACAGAGGCGCCAATGCCAACGCCGGCCACCGTGGGACCACCGGAGACGACAACCGGCGTGCCCACGCCCCCAGCCGAGGATCTGCTGCGTCAGGTGAACACCACCCGGCTGTTGCCCAGCTCAGCTGATGCCAACTCAGCTGCTGTCACAACAACCACAGATCTGGCCATCCGCCAGCGTCGTGCTCTGATCGACACAAGCGTCAGCTATCACTGCTATACGGTGCAAAAGACCGGTAAGTACAGGTGATACAATGACGGTTGATTCAGAAACTAATCAAAACTCCGCCCGTTCTATCCACAGTCAATAATACGATGCAGACGGTTCGCGGCTGCTCGCGTGTTGAGCCGGAACAGTCCGTCTGCCAGGAGCTGCAGATTAAGAGCAACGAAACCAAACTGGCCAAATGTGATCCGTGCAGCATGAATGCCTGCAATGGTGCCACATCCACGTTCCAGTCCACGCTGCTGGCGACACTCCTGTTTGCCCTGGTCGCCGCTCTCCTGCAGCGCAATTGAAGGAGTTAACACCAGCCACGCCCCCTCCCCGCTCACCTCCAACTCCACTCGCCTTCCGTTCCATTGTCGTCCACTCCAGCCCGGTGTTATTTAGTACATATTGCTCATTTGTTTAAGGTACACACACACACACACACACACACACGAACAGACACAAACACACACAGTCACTGAAGCGTTCTACATGGGCGCACCTGGGGCAGGGGTTGCCTTTATTGAAGAAATAACACTTATGAACTTTAGGCTACTGAAATCGTAGCTTCAATATTGAAATTTAAACAATACCCCCCTTTCCCCCCTTAGACACACGAGCCCCTTTATCAAAATCCTGCCTACGCCTCTGCTCTCATTTGTTAAGTCATGCGAAACTTTATGTAATTTGTAAGCGACACACACACACACACACAAACAAACAAACATACACACACGAATATCGAAATATATACATATATGCCTATATATAACTTAATATGAACTAAAGCTAACCAAATGTGAAGCATAAGACAATTTACTTGATATGTTATAAACTATTTATACATTAAACGATTTTTCAAAATCTTCTCCGAGATGTGAAAATTTGTTTGCAATTTTTTGCAATTTTTTATTTAAAATTTAAATAATATTAGCATGAATAGATTAAATATTTCTTAAATGCAGTCAAAATCAGTCTGAATCATGGGATATACAAATTATTTTCTATTCATGCCGGGATTTTAAGCCGAGCCGGATTATTTGGATACGGAACTAAAGCAGCGGAAACTTATATTTAAAAAAAAATTAATCCATTCAAAACATATTTAATTATGTTTTATTTTAAAAAATATTATTGCATCATTTTATACATTTTAAACTGAGAATACGAAAAGCTAACTAATGCAAGATAAATAATAATATGTAAATATATTCGACTAAAGTAAACTTAAATGAGTGAAAAAAGATTTGAACCAAGAACTGGTTCACGAACCGAATCAGATTAATAATAATATATTAATATGTTCGACTAAAGTAAACTTAAATGAGTGAAAAATGATCTGAACCAAGAACTGGTTCACGAACCGAAGCAGAAGGCACGGTTCTGGTTCGAACCGTGAAGCGAAAGTCTGAAAACGTTTTCTGTCATGTTATAAATATTTTATCCAGATGATGTTAATCTCAATGTGAGAGTTGATAGCTGAGAAAAGTCTGCTTATAACACATTTAACACAGAGTTAGATCTGTGCATAGATAGACTGATAAGCCCAATTCCCCCCACAAGCCTTGTTGACTAAGCCAACAAATCAGAAAGTTAGATAAAGCTCGATACATTCTGCCCCCAAGCGATAGTTAGTTGGGTCTTGGTACTGGTTCGAAGCGCCTGGCTATATAGCCACTGGGTCAATGTTACGGCCATTGCGCATACGCCGCATTGTGCCAACAAACCAAGCCGGAAGAGGCATACTTTTAGGCCCAACTATGCTAAGTAAATTTGTCCAGGGCAAACACAGCTCGGCCAAAAGCAACGTGGGCCAAGTTTCCAACAATAAGATAAGATAAGATTTCATTAATAACAAAAACAAAAAAATATTTATAAAAAGAAAACTTGTGATTCTTTTTGTATTCAAACACAGTGCGTGCGAAAAGTATGCGCACCAAGGCATAAATCATAGCTACGAAATGGAGAGCCATAAATTATGCGGACAATTGGCCATATGCTGGTATATGCACATAAATATAAATACATGAATGAGTTGAGAAATCGTTGAGCTGTGTCTTTAGAGATAGTTGATAACTGAAATTCCCAGAAGTGCCCCAGAGATAAAATAAGTGAAGAACCAACTGAAATGCTGACCTCTAAAACTGACGTATATTGAAAACAAATAACTGACCAGATAAGAGCCGAGAAATGTGTGTCACAACGTCTCGAAAAATCGACCTTCACGAAAGCTCCCTTTTTTTTATTTACCCCATAAAGTGGCGAGATTTGATAATGATTTCCATCTGAATGGTGCTTCACAATAAGTTTTTAAATATATAAAAAAAGACCATGATAAGCCGTTCAGGGTGAGTGAAAGTGTTCATTAATTATGGTTTATCTTCTTCTGCGATAAGGGGCGCTCATTAGCAATGAGTGGACTTTTCATTTTTTTGATGACTTGAATGAAATACGAAACTTGAACACAATTTGGCCGAGGTGAATTACAAAACTATATCTGCAAGTGTGCCGCCTCGAAGAGGTGTACTTGATTGGGAAAATACCTGTTATTCAGCTCCATAAAAATAAGCTCGTGCTTAGTTAAACAACAATTTCTTTGTATTGATATTGATAAATAGATTTAATTTACAAAGCAGATTTACATACTAGTCATTACGAACATTGAAACGAAATTATAGAAAAAAGAAGAAGCAATCACTTCAATACTAATCCCATAAGAAGAGTCTGCATGCATTACAATTATTTTCCTTTTGCTGATCTTGAATAAGTTGCAATTTTTCGTATTTAAAGTGGACATTACATTACATATACGTATGCCAAAATCCAGTGTATAAAAGTCTTTATTTGTTTAATTGATGGAAGATTCATTTAATAGATGGATTGTTTAACTAGTTTTCATAAGCTAAGTTGAAAGGCAAACTCATAAACTCATATAGTTAGATATGTAAAGAGTTGAAAGAAAGGCTGATAAAAAAAAAAATATATATATATATATATATATATATGTACAAGGGTTACGCTCGGGACATTCGTTCATTTGCAACATCAAGAAAATCTAAGAAAATAATTAAGATGCTTTGATTTTTTAAATACCTTCTTTAATTGCTTTAAATACCTTCTGCAAATATATATTTTTACATCAGCAATAAGCTTAGACATTTCTTAAGTAAGCTGATTTACACATCAATTTAGCCAAGATTTATTTCTTAAAATTTGTATTTTTATTACACCCTGAACCCATTAATAATGGGTATAAGGGTATATTGTATTTGTGCAAAATCCAAATGTATGTAACAGGCAGAAGGAAGCATCTCCGACCCCATAAAGTATATATATTCTTGATTAGCAGCAATAGCAGAGCCGATATAGCCATGTCTGTCCGTCTGTCCGTATGTATGAACGCAAGGATCTATAAGACCTTTAAGAGCTAGAGACTTTAGATGTAGGTGCTCCTATGCACTAGGATCGAGGTTGTTTCCGATAATCGATTACTTACTCCGTTTCCAAGCAATCGATAAAAATCGATATCGATATCCTGTTTTTTGGGCAATTTTGGTAAATAATAAGAGCTAGAGTCACCAAACTTGACATATAGCTTCTAAAATAGAATATATATATGCATTTGACGTTGGAAGAAGAGGGTTCCGGGTATCCCCTAGTCGGAAGCTCCCGACTGGAACCTCTTACTTGTTTCTTTTTGCTTTTGAGCAAATTGGATTATCTATATTTACATTAAAATAAAATCATTTGCTTAACTTTACGGGATGATAAATGCAGAAAACATTCCTCTAGATTGTGTTAAACGGGGAACTTTAACTGAAAATGCACAGGTGATGTCACATAACTGTAGATCCCTTAGTCTAGATCAGCTGGGCTGGCAAATCGGGCTTTAGTTCAAAGAACTCGACTGGAGTTGCTGATAATGTATAAATCTAAGACATTAGTATTAGAAAGTATGTACGGCAAATATTCGTATGTCGGAGGCAAATATTTACCTTGATTTACCCAGTTTTTATTGAGGGTTTTTTTTATTTTATGGTCAGCTATTAAAACGTTTTTTGCCGTATATATGGAACAGTTTGGGAGTTCGCTTGTGTACCTTGAGCAGACAAATGTTATTTGTTAAACGGCTGTGAATCATCGGCCATAAATTTCTTGCCAAAATATGCACTGACAAACAAAATTCCGATACGCGTGTCTTTGATATCTATATACATATATATATATCTATATACATATATCTAAATGTATTATCATTTGTTTATCAATGTGTGGCGTAACCGTAAACCGTTTCACGGGCTACTTTCGAAGGTTTGCCAACTTAGTATCTAAGCATTAAAAACGACTATAGCCTTGGGCTTAGATGCCTTAGAAATCGATAGAACTGATTAGATTCCATTACACGACTGTAGAAGTCTGTATTTCAGTGTGAACTGCATTTATGGGCCAACTCAAGAGTCAAGCATTTAAGTCAGCGGCTGATCTAGTAAATACCCTCGGACTGCCGCTTTCAGACTTCGGAATGGGCATTTCAAGTGGCCAGTTCATAGCATTTCAGTTTACACACATTCCACACATTGCTTATCATATGGCATTTTATTGAGGTCTACGGCCTAATTGAACCATATCCTGAGGAAGTGCGTTCTAAAAGCAATAGCAAAAGCGACACTTCATAAAAAACCCCTGCAAATCGCAATCTCCTTATCAGAGGCAGCAGCAGCAGCAGACTCGATTTTATCAACGTCCAGAATGGGTCCTAAAACACAATAGCCACAGTGAAAGCTCTCTAGAGCGCACCGATCACAGCTCGATATAAATATACATAAAGGAGGAACAAATATATATATTGAAATATTGCTTCATTTGAGGAATCTTTCCCTTGGTTCAGTTCGTGATAATGAAACCTTCTTAATAATCAGAATAATACAAAAAATAATAAACAACGCTGGAGCAATGTCTGAAGGTTAAAAATGTAACAAAACTATTTTAAACTATTTTAATATATATTTTATAAATTTTATTTCCTTTTTTTTCAATGATACGTTTCAGGTTCACGCTCAGATTTTCTTATTGCCAACCGATTCGGTTCATGGTTCGGTTCACAGAAACAAAAAATTATATGCCAGGATTCGACCAGATCTTAACTATTACTAAAGGCTCAGTTAACAATAACTGGATGGTGAGTTTCGAAATTCAACCAGATCTTAACTATTGCTTAACCATCTCACAGGTTTTTAAAATATGCTTTTCTTTTGAACAACTGATTCGGTTCAAGGTTCGGTTCCCAGCCAGATCTTAACTATTGCTGAGGGATCGGTTCACATTAACGGAAAAGTAAGTGCCAGCATTGAACCAGATCTTAACTATTGCTTAACCATTTTACAGGTATTAAAAAATGATGTACCTTTGGCTAACTTACAGGGTTCAAGGTTCGCTTCGAGGTAAAGTAAATACCGGCAATGAACCAGAGCTTAACTATTGCCCAATCATCTTGCAGGTATTAATGATGAATATTTGAAAACTTTTGACTAATTTCTTGCTGTCTTTTCAGCTTCAGAGAGAAGAAATGGGTAATATGGAAGTTGTACGAAATGTGTTCGTCAAGTGGAGCTTTCACTGTGGCCAAAAGCAGCCAACGGGGCGCTGTGCTGTGGCGCCTTATCAGTGCCATTGGCCCGACCCGACCAACCCATGAGTATCGGGCTTGCTGCCAAGTGATAAAAAAAAGCCATGTTAACAATATATTTAATTGGTAGTTTGCATTCGAGAGTCGAGCCGTGCTGTTGTCTACAGTTCTTGTCGCGAGCCAACAAACTCGCGCCCATTTCAACTGATCCTTAACAGAAAAAAAAAGGAAATATCCTTTTAGGCATA